TTACTTGTTTGTCTGTTATGTTCAGCATTTGTTGCCCGCCTCCTCCCACGGGAACTCCACGAGAGTGGGGTTCTTGCTGTGTTTTGTTCACTGATCTGCCCCGCATTCCCCAAACTGTGCCTGGAACATAGGACATACTCGGTAAGTCGTGGCTAAATGAATTAATTAATGCTGTTTTGCAAAGGAACAGAGAGGTTCAGGGCCTTGCTCAAGGTCACACAGCTAGTAAGAGACAGAACTAGCTGTCAAACCCAGACCCCCGCTGACTTGATAGTCCACAATTTAAGCATCAATCTCTACTGCTCTTGAACTAAAATAAGAATGTGCCTTTTCAGTTGATCCGACAGTTGAGAAGTCTCCTTCCCGTTGTATCAGCTCTCTTAATTTACAGCATCGTCCCTGAGCAAGGGAGGCCAGGCATTGCCATGAGTCCCATTTTACAGATGAGCACACTGAGGCTCAGGGAGACAGAGTGATGAGCTGGAGTGCACAGACCCAGACCAGAGACAGCACCACCTCAAAAGAGGGGTGGGAGACTGGACCACCCCTCCCCTGAGCCCTGTGGGGATGCAGCCCGGGCTCTCTGGGCCTGGCTCTCCCCTCAGCTCTGCTACCTGCACAAGTCTTGCTGTTTCTCTGTCCAGAAGAGGACCCTATGGACTCTTGACTGCAATGACCCTGCTCCCGCACCAGCCCCCAGCACCCAGCCCTGCTCAGAGGGAGCGGAGGACCGGGCCACCCTGCCTGCGGCCGAGCGGAGCAGTTCCCCTGGTGAGACCCAGGGTGGGCGGAGGGGAGGGGACCCAGCCTCTGGGTCTTCAGTGGTCATGTCCTCTGTGACACAGGTCCCCACTGGCCCCTGGCTCCTGGGTGTCCTTTAGCCACAGCCTTCCAGCAGCATTTCCCTTCCCACACAGCCCCCCGGCTTCCTCCGCCAAGCAGGCAAGTCACCCTCCATGCAGAGCACTGGGGAGGGGTGCGGGTGGAGAGGGGGGCCCCTTACCTTCTGCTCTCCTCCCCGGGACAAGGGCGGCCTCTTCCCCCGCCAGGCCGCGGAGGCCCTATTTATGCCTGAGGGGTGGGGATGGAGCGGTTCCCAGACCGTCCTGTGCCTGGGCCAGGGGGAGGGGGTGACATCACTTGGCCGGGCCGTGGGGGTGGGGGCCTCAGGCAGAGGGAAGGACGCCAGGCCACTGTCACGCTGGGCCTCCTTCCAGGAAGTCAGGGTGATCGATGCACACGGTTGTTGCTGAACAGCGCGGGCTGGTACACGGGCGGGTTACACATTTACTCACGTTGTCCCAAGCTGCAGCCGCTCTGATCCGACACAGGAGCATCCCATGTGGGTGTATGATGTGTCTGCCCCGAGGTGTGGCGGCCGGCCAGCCACCCAAGCCTTGGGACCCAGCCCCTTTGAGGGGGTGCATCTGCGAGGCCCCAAGATGTGTGGGCTCGTGGGCCCAGCAGGAAGGGGAGAGCCCAGCTTACCCTAGGGGGTGGCCTGACCCCACAGCCTTGAGCAGCTCAGGGGTTGTCCAAAGAGCCATTGGGCGCCCATCCTGTGCAAAGCCCTCTGACCGGCAAGGAGACGAACACATACCCAAGTAAAAGCGCCTTCTAGAGGCTTGTGGTTTATCTGAGGGAGACTTAGACACCAACCATAGTGAGACAGATGGGAAGGTACCCCCAAAATGCTTTCAGATCGTGAGACAGATCAATCCATTAAAGCTGGGGAAGGTTTCAGGGAGAAACGTTATTTGAGTCAAACCTTGCAGGATAAATAAGCTGAACTTTGAAACTGAATAGGAGGGACTTTTCAGAGGTAGAGGCTGGTATGACAGTGACAGAGGTGGGAGGGCGCGGGGGCTCCTCTACGGGACACCAGCGGGCCCAGGCGCTGGAAGGGAGGCCCGTGACAGCAGCAAAACTGCGGCTGCTCCAGGTGCCTGCCCCCCCGGGGTCAGGGAGGGTCCCCTGGACACAGAGCTTCAGACCAAACTCCCCAGGAACTGGAGATGACACTCAAGATGCACCCAGGTTGCCACCCCACGTCTGGGCTGTGTGAAGCGAGTGATCTGGAAGGACAGATGCTGGTTTGAGCCTAAACATCACACTTGGAGGGCAGAGTCGATGCCACGAGAGGGAGAGATGGAAGCCGTCTGAGCAGGAGAGTGACAGGACGCTTGACTTCTGCTTTAAAAAAAAAATTACTGTAATAAAGCGATGCTGCCCTGGGAGGGCCGGGAGGGAGCAGGAGAAGGCGCAGCATGATGTGTCCAAGTTCAGGCTCATGGGAGAATGATGACCCCGGTAACCCAGAGATGGACATGGGAAGGACAAATGTCCCGGGCAAGGGCTGCGCAGAGCCTGAGTATGGGTGGGTTTCCTTTGAGGCATCCTTTGGACCCAGGGGTGAGTACTTGTGGATACAGTTCTGCTGCTCAGGAGGGAGATCCAGGCTGAGGACATGGATGTGGGAGGCGAATACATCACTGAATAATTTAAGGCCTGTGGGCAGAAACATGTTACCCATGGAGGGTCAAAAATGAGAGGAGAGGGAACCCTGTGGAGACAGGGGACGGGAAAGGAGTCGGGGTGGGGGCAGTCAGTGCAGGAAACAGGAGATGGTGCTCCAGAAGCCAGCGGGAGGGTTTTGGTAAGTGAGGAGTTAGGACCTGAAAGAGGTCTTTATTATTAGAGAAATGCAAGTCAAATCTATAAGGAGTTATCACCTCACACCAGTCAGAATAACCATCATTAAAAAGTGCACAAACAGTAAATGCTGAAAAGGGTGTGGAGAGAAAGGAACCCTCTTACACTGTGGCTGGGAATGTAAATTGGTGGAGCCACTATGGAAAACAGTATGGAGGTTCCTTAAAAAACTAAAAATAAGCTTACTATATGATCCAGCAATCCCACTCCTGGGCATATATCCAGAGAAAACTAGAATTCAAAAAGACACATGCACCCCAGTGTTCATAGCATCACTATCTACAACAGCTAAGACATGGAAGTAACCTGTATGTCTACCAACAGATGACTGGATAAGAAGTTATGCTATTATATACAATGGAATACTACTCAGCCATAAAAAGTAATGAAATAATGCCATTTGCAGCAACATGGATGGACCTGGTGATGATCATATTAAGTGAAGTCAGCTAGAAAGAGAAAGACAAATAGCATATGATACCCCTTATATGTGGAATCTAAAAAAATGCTACAAATTTTACTTACAAACCAAAAATAGACTCACAGACAGAAAATAAACTTATGGTTACCAAAGGCAAAAGGGTGAGGGAGGGATAAATTAGGAGTTTGGGATTAACAGATAGACATTATTACATATAAAATAGATAAACAACAACAACCTACTGTATAGCCCAGGGAGCTATATTCAATTTCTTGTAACAACATATAATGGAAAAGAATCTGAAAAGAAAAAAAAATATGTATGTATATGTATAACTGAATCACTTTGCTGTACACCTGAAACTAACACTGTAAAGCAACTACATTTCAATAAAAAAGAAGATTTAAAAAAGGCTCAGCTATTTGCCAAATGTCACCCAGAAAGAAAATGGTGAATTCAGTTTGTCTGACCCCAGCTCCCATCTTTTCTTAACCACGTTTGTTCATTTGTCCAACAACTATTTATTGAAAACCTACTATGTGCCAAGAATGGAATTCATCTCTGAGGTGACAGTGGAGATAAATCAGGCACAGTCCCCACCCTCATGAAGGCTGCAGTTCTGCAAGATGTCCAGATTAATCGCTAATTGCATAAATAATGGTTAATTGGGAGCTGGGATACAGCTTAGGAAGCTGAGGATGTGACAGGAAGCCTGGTCTAGGCTGAGGGTCGGGAAGACTGACCTTGAAGAAGGAGAGCGAGGGCAAGACCTCGAGAGTGAGTGGGAATAGGCCCGGGAGCAGCGCGGGTGGGGCCGGGGTCTGCGCTGCCAGGGGGCAGCCTGGACCATCCCCAGGGCTCCCCCCATGTCTGACAGTCCATGATTCTTGCAGACGACTTATTCCTCTATGCAGATCTCTGTCCTGCCAGGCGAGGGGCCTCCCCTCACTCTTCCCCGCCTCCAACAAGGCCACCCAGCTGCACTGAGTCACCATGAGCACCGTTCTAGCCCTCAGCTCCATCCCATCATCTACCTGCTCAGTGAGCTTGCCTGGCCTTGCAGATTCCCCTGCACTGACAGCGGGAGGCACCCAGCCCGGGGGCAGGTCTTGGCTGAGAAAGGTGCTCTCCCACTTGGCAGCCCTCCTGCCCTCAGGGCACTTGACTTGGGCATTACAAACAAAATGCAGATTGTGCTCATGGATGTAGAATTGAAGTTTAGTTTCTGATAGTAGTTCTCAGCCCAACTCTCCAAGGGACCACAGATGTTTCACAAAAATGACCGTATCAAGAGGCAGGGGGACATCTGCCCTCCAGACAAACCATAATGCACACGTTTTTATTAAACTAGTGAATTTGAGGGAGGGATGCTGAACTCCAAATATGCGTGTAACTAGGTTTCACTGGATTATCTCAAAATGGCCCAACAGCCGTGGGTAAACCGAAGCAGGAATAACGGAACCATGGGGCCCCTTTTAGAAGGGGGCCTCCTGATAGTACTCCCCTTGGATCCTGCAAGCCACCCTCTAGGGCAGCAGGACCATGACCTGTGTGGCCCCCCGTTCCTGTTCTTCCCCTTCAGTGCACTGGTCCCCACCCACTACTCATCCCTCAAGTGGCATCGGGGGTTGACCAGATGTCCGAGTAGCTCCAGGCCTCTTGCCTACAGGGTATTCCAGTTGTAGGAAGGTGGTCTACTCATTGGATCACTCTTGCTGGTTGGCACTGGTATTAAACAGTAAGATTAAGCTTCCAGGGATGGCTGTCTTGTCTCTTCTAGCGACTTCCAAAATCTCTGCTGGGTTAGCGAAGGGGTCCTTCTGATAGATGACCTCTCTTCCCTCAAATCATTGCAGTAACCTTTTGCTCTTTGGGGTTGGTCTTCAACCATGTTGATGAGGGAGGGACATTCACTGGGACAATGAAACCCTCTTTTCCCTCAGGTCTCCCATGCTGGTGTCGCGTGTGGAAGGCAGGGTTTGGTCAATACTGAAAGAGATTACCCTGGAGGAACACACCCTATCCACATGGCCCAGAGTTTGAGAGAAGACATGGTTGGAAGTCGTGTTGTTCTGTATTTATGCTATAAAAATCCCAAACAGTACATTTTACATGACCAGGAAGAGCACTGTAATTCAGACTTTCCTAAAGGTAAGACTTGCATCATGGTCACCATCAACAAATCAATCTTGGTGAGCAGTGCTGGAAGCCAGCATGCCCAGGTGACACAGTGGATGCAGCTTCAGGAGTGATGACCAACCAGCTTTAAACGCCCAACATCAGGGACACACAGAGGCAGGGTGTCTGTGTTGTTCCATCACAAACAGGCTCGTCTGGTGTGCTGGGTATGCAAGTCCCCAGGAAAAGGGCACATTTGACAGTGAAGGACAGGGAGAGATGGTGCTGAGACACCAAAAGCAATCTTTATGTTCACTGATGATAAACAAAGACATCAATACTTCTTGTTTAAATCTTCATTTTAAAAAATCACTATAAGTTTTAAAATTAATTCACTTGTATAGACAGGGCCCCCCTCAAAAACTACTCATCTGGGGCTGCACATAGCTTAGTGGGAGCCCCTCCTGGAGAGAACGTCCAATGGCCAGAGCCTGAGTGGGATTCCTGTGATGTGGGAGCTGCGCCCTCCACTGGGATGCTGCAGGTCTGGGTCCCGGGTGGGGCTCTAGGATCAGCTAGTTGTCCAATTGCATGAACAGACTACCTGGACACAAAAGGGA